GCTGAATAAGTCAGCACATCACATGACTACTTTGGTCAATAGGAGCATAACGCGTACCCACCAACACCACAGATGCCTCTCTCATGCTACAAATACACTTATCTACTCAGGTCTCAATTAGTGTGCTCACAACATTGCCTTTACATATCTTTCCAACCTAATAGAATTTCTAACCAGCTGAACACAATGTTGAGAAGTTTATTCAACCCTGACAAAATAAAGAGACACACAGATTTAAGTCAAAATCCACTTAGTTTGGCTCCCTGTATTGAAGGTTTGGGAAGTAAGATTTAGTACGTCTGTCGGGATTAATGCACCAAATTAACAAACTGCCTATTGGGTTTAAACGATCACGCGCACCGACGGCAGATCCCTGATTGGTAGAGAGCACCTCCAATCCATGCACACTCAGCAGTCCCAAATTTAGGGCCCTTCGAGGCACAGTTTCAAAGTGCTGTTCCCTAAAGCTTGTCGAATTTCGCAGCATCTCTACGAAACCGCCATTTCCAGCATTTCACACCAGGTGCACACACTAACTTGAAATCGATAAAATTTTGGATAATAATGACGACTTAATGAAAGGAGAGTGCACCAGATAAATGCGGCAGACAGTAATAGTAACCTGTCTGTTGATTCGGCGTGTGTATTTCTCCAAATCGAAACACACTCCTCAAAGGAGTGCCCATCCAGCATGCAAGACTAGAAAGAATTACATTCGATTTGGCCAGTTTAAACTCGTATTAATTAATGCGTTTTTGCTTCACTGTTGTTTTACTGTGGCATCTGGAGATATCCAGTTGCGGAGGTCTAGATATAAGTCTAGATCACACCTCGACGTGAGACGAGACATCTAACAACTTAATCAGGGGTCAATGGCACTAAATCGATAAATGCTTTGATTTCGTTTTTCGGTAGTTCAGAGTTTTCAGATATGCAAGTAACCTAATTTTTGCCACTCGTGGTAAACCTAAATAACACTTGGTAAAACGAGACCACGACTACGATGCTTCGGTCGGCGACACATCACCTATTCTACTGAAATCGACGTAGTAGCTGTGTGTGGGGATGTGGCTCAACTGGTTGTGGCTGGGCGAGTAGGTTCACTTAATAACTCCGTCGATGCCTTCCTGACTGACACAAAACAAGGTAATTTTTAAACTGGATTTCTTGGAGCTTAATGTAAATGCATGGAAGTCGGGAAAACTGAAAACAGCCATCCAAAATGTGTGGGCAGCGTCGCAAAATAATGTCGCACTGACATCCAGATAAGTAGCATGTTACAGTAATTTCATCTAATCCACTAGGCTTATATGCACATGCATTGTGACTCTTCGAACCTGCTTGACCACCGTTGAAGAAGTAGAAAATTTGGCATTTTGAAGATATTCTTCTGCCAAAGAAGTGAGACTGAATTCAAGCGTTGGTATCGTGGCTGACTGCATCAATGTGCGCAGGATGATTCATCTCACTCAAAGCCAATGGCCTCTATGACCTTGAAGCAAGTGCTATACAGTCAATGTGTCAAATAGCTATGGGCCCGATTGCATCACCTTCCAACTGACTTGTGAGCTGGGCCATCACGGAATTATTGGAATAATAGGTGCAGGAGTCTAACGTTTCAAAACTGACGGATCTGACTGAAGTAAACATCGTTGCAGGCGCTAAAGTTGGGCTGAAGTGGCTTTTGAGGTGGTGGGAGGCAATCAAAGCCACTGTGGTGTCACTTAGTTCTACATACTGCCGATCATTCCAGCCAGCACTCATTCCACTGTCCTGATGGCCATGGTTTGATCATTTTCACGAAGAACAGTCTGTAGTGATCTGACAGCCATCTCGCGTGAGTGATGCGTGCACGAGGGCCCGAGTACACCAATGACCCACCCCTTTTCTTATTGGCCTCTGTCAGCAGTCGCCTCTTACGTACGCGTACTCATGCGCACACAAAGCCACTTGCATGGTGTCACTAATAAACGGTCGTGTTCTCTGTCACCTCCTTTCCTCCTATCCTCGAGCAATTACGGGCTCTTAACCAGAGGTTTGTAAGGTAGTGCTAAGTTCCCAGCCACTACAAGCCGACTTCTGATTGGTATTGGCAAGTGCTATTATCGCTATCATATTGGAAATTAAGTGCAGATCGATTCCATATCAATGCATCGATGACACACAGCAAGCAAATTGTGCATAAAGGTGGATAAGTTTCTGCTCTTAAAAGAAGGTTAATAGTGAATACTTATAAATGTCTGCGCAATTCTTCAGAGAGTGCTTGTCAAGTGACAACACTCTTCATTTGTTGAGTGCATCTTGTTATAAAAACATCCAGAAAGCAGATTCTGATGCCTCGAAATCTGTCAGCAGCTCGTCTTCGAACAATGGGCAGTCTGGCGGTTGTCTTAATGCCAACTGCGCCAACAGAGGTCCGACGGTTCACTTGGTCGTTTTAAAACAAGTTCCAACTAGGACCGTGACTGCTAGTAGAAGCCCATTCCGATCATCGTCCAACCAGACGAATTCGCTTCCATCGACTGTCAGGAATGAGGCCAATCCGCCTTTGGTTCGAGTGTGGAACGGAGCCGGCGTCGATTCTGGAACTGCCAAGTTGTTCCCGACAGTGGACAGAATTACGGTTTTGACGATGACCAAGGTTCGTACATCCACACCCCTCACGACTACGTCGCCTACAGGTTTGAGGTGTTGAAGATTCTGGGAAAGGGTAGTTTCGGTCAGGTGGTGGAAGCATTTGACCAAATGACCAGAACACTTGTCGGCCTAAAAATGGTGCGAAATGAGAGCAGATTCACGAAACAGGCGGCAGAAGAGATTTGCACTTCGGAACTGCTTCGAGACCAGGACTTAGACAATAGCCGCAACGTGGTGCATTTCCGAAAGCACTTCACTTTCCGTGAGCACGTTTGCATGACGTTTGAGCTGCTCAACATGAACATCTACGAGTTGATTAAACAAAATAAATTCCAAGGCTTCCCTCTCCCCCTAGTCCGCTAATTCGCACACTTCATCCTCATTTGTTTGGACAAGTTGCATCGAAATAAAAATCATCCACTGTGACTTTAAACCAAAAAAGATTCGTCTGAAGCAGCAAAGACAAGGCGAAACTAAAGCATTTGATTTCGGCTCAAGTTGCTTTGAACACCAACGCAACAT